AATAACATAGCGAGCTCGTATCAATTCTCGGCAATAGGGGAGACTGAGGAAAATTGTGAGATAATCCATTTTTTGGAACTTACATATTAACTACTAACTTTTGCCCTCGGCTTCACCCACGTGAAATTTAGTTTGTCACAGATCGTCATAAATTATAGCCTATGTGTTATTCTGGGTTATAAACAATAATACTGTAAGTTTTCATCAAAATTCGTTAAGTAGTTTTTGCGCTAAAGAGTAACAAATACTACTGCGCTACTGCGCTCATTGCTTTCACTATTATGTACGATGTGTGATTTTTCAACTAAATACTGTAATTAATGGAAAGGAAACCTCTGTTCGTAAACGCAGTCTTTTATTTTCTGTCAAAGATAACAAGTTACTTCGCATTTTAATTAATTAATAGATAGTATAGATTTAATTGTCTTGCCCTCTGCCAGCACTTAATTAGTACCACTTCGCATTACAAATGTTTACATATGAAAATTCCGAAACACTCCCCAAAAACCTTGAGCAATACATAATGTAAATTCGGCGCCCGAGTTTCCAGAAGGAAGTTTTCGTTAAATTTGAATTGTAGATTATTACAAATAAGTTTATAAAATGGCCTCCTCGGTCGGTCTTGTTAATGGACTCCGCAAAGGTTACTCTATAGGAATCTTTGAGTTTATGTTTAATTTCGTAAGGTCGTAAAGGTGATTGCATACTTACTGGAAGTAATTAATCTTGGCCCTTCGGTTTAACTTGATTCTGCACTCTTGTTTTGTGTGTAAACCCTTTGAAAGGAAATGGGGGCAGTCTCGGTACGGCGTTTCAAAGCTGTTCCGCGCTGTGACTTTTGGTGGCGACTGTACTAATTTTTATTTACTATAATAACTAAAATTTACTAAAAATGATTACCTATAAAATATCACTGTGTTTAATTAACCATCGACAGGTGCTTAAGAAAAAACAAAAAAAACCTTTACATCCCTGGAAATTGAATAATTAAATTAAAGTAACTTACTGGAGTTGTCGAATTATAAAGCAATTTTGGGATACAAAGACACTCTCCGTACTCTACTTTTCCAAAAATTTTGAATTGAGGTCCTTGTTGAAATTACACATAAAATATTCCGTCAATACTGGGACGAGAATTTTCGTCTTCGAGTATATTTAAAAAATGCTCATGATTTAGATTAACAATTTTATTGCTATTAACTCTTATAATCAATAATATATTTGTCCCAATCTACGATGAAATAAAGTGAAATATCTTCCTTTTAGGAAAGTTTGCTTTTATTTTACGATCTCACGCCAATCAAAGAATGAAAGAAGAGTTAAACTTTACAAAGACTTGCATAAATTAATTGATCAATGATTAATGAGGATCGGTTCCGAAAATTAGTGACTTAAATTCGATTCGTCTTTAAGGTTTTATGGATGTTATTTTATTGTTGGGAAGAAATCTTCCATAAATTAATCCACAGTTAAACATGACACACTCACAGTAGGAATGAATGACCTTTAGAATGTCGCGAGCCAAAATTTTATGTAAGAGTATTTGACATGACTTTTCATGCAGTAGGTAATTTAGTATCTCCACGTAGGAATTTGAAGGGTGATACGCTAAAGCTGTGTGTTCTCCCAATAAAGACAACAAAATAAAATTCGGACTCGCTAAGGACGTATTTTAGAATGGTTTAATTTACATAGTTAGGCTTTAATATTCCTCGAAATACATTTCATCCTTTGTCAAAAAATAAAACATGATAAAAAAAACCTTTCAAGCTTTAACAAACAACTTCACTATACGTGTATAGATTTATGGGCACCATGAATCATGTAAAGCAATAAATGCAGGCCAAGCCAACACGTCCGAGTTTTTGCGGCGCCTAAATAAAATAATAACGCAACTCCATGTTCTTGTACAAAGGATATAAAATAAAACGTTAGGCGTTATCTTAGTGATGTGACTCGGTGTACAACTATCGATATATGGTGCTGATTAAAGATACTTTAGTATTTTTTCCTATCTACTATTTTACAAACAAAATAATTTTCGCTATAGTTTGAAGAATTGGCTGCCAAAATATGAGTGTCACAAATAATCTGGACGTAGTATGACGACAAAATTTATGAAAAAGGTCAAGCATTATCAATGAAAGTATAGAGGTCTGATGACAGACCAGATACTCTGATGACAATGTTTCATAAATAATGACCTACACAATATTATTTTTTCAAATTATGTAACTTTAGAGTCATGATGATCCATGTACTTAGGTACCTACTATAATAAAAACAAATTGTGCATATTTTATCAAAATGGTAATTCGTCTCATAAAATCTCGTAATGCACATAATATATTCCAAAGATGACTTGTTTTGAATAACTAAAACTAGCTAAAAGTATAATTAAATTAAAGACCTTTTAATTTCTAAACAGTCGATAGATTACCAACAGAACTCATAAATTTCGGCCGCACTAGCCATCTTCCTCTTGACTGGAACAAGGCAATTCTTACGAGGCCAAAAATTCCATCATGTTTCATTTTCTGGGGCCAAGATGCGAACAACAAAAGTGCACTTAATTCCCACCAACTTCAGGCGGATTTACGACGATGCTTCTTAAGTGAAAAATTGCCTTCTTTTATGATGTTTCACTACCCACCCGCATTAAGGTGTAGTACAATTTACAGGTTTCCATAAAATGTTACATACAAGTGATGGCGAAATAAACTGGGATCGTTATCACAGAGATCTCTAACTTACGTACGTAACTAAAATACACCGAAAATGTTTATTTTCTTCTATGAACTTTTTGGAAATCAGTGGTCCAGCAACCAGGATGTCAATTGGCTAAAACGAACGAAAATAATATTTTTAGACAAAATTGAAATGTAAGATTTTAAATTGTCGCGTTCCATTTCAACTAAAATATAGAAAGACACGGTACTTAACGAAACGTGACGGTCTCTCAGTCATAAAATTAAATTTCGCGTTAAAAAAACCCGTGTCTTTCTATTTTAGTTATCTTCAAATGTCTTTATACATAGTAGGTACCTACTCACTAAGGTGTGTCCTTACTGTCCTTTTTAACAGGGCCGGATTAACCTTCTTGGGGCCCCTAGGCACAGCTCGTTTCGGGCCCCCCTTTTTTGTCGTGGAGGAAATGCTTTATAGTATCGGGCTGTGTACGTTATTTTTATATACCCGATGTACGTAATTATATCAATATACGTTATATTCAGGTATATTATTGTTGTACACTTATAAGTAATGTCCACTTTATAAGTTAAGTCCACAAAACGTACGTCAGAAGGTTGGAACAGTAAAACATGTGATTTCTTTAAAGGTGTAATTGCGACTAAAATAAAACTGGCGGGCTCAGCCGCCGACACATACAAGGAACAGTATAACTATTGTTTTCTATTGTTGATTGTATTGGGCAATGATGTGGGAACCCAGGACGCTACTCAATACGCTCTGTTCATACATGGAGTTAATTTATTACTCTGATTAATGTGTACCTACAGGCTGTAACCTTAGACTTCCGCGACATCACCGGCGACATCTCGCCTACACGGCGGACCCTAAACGCCCCCCTTGTGGGGGTCCGACGGGAATGGCCCAAAACGCCAAGCCGTTCCGTCAGACGGAGGTGACAAGGGAGGACGCACGCCACAGTGTGCCCTACCGTGCGGTAGGTCCTTGCGACTTTCTGCGCTATGGCCCGCTGGGGCCTGCGCAGAAGGGCAGCATTCTCCCTCTTGTTGAGTGCGTCCGCCCAGATTGGGGCGCCATACATCACCATGCTCCTCAGAACGCCGGCATAAAGTCGACGACACCTCGTTTTTGGCCCTTCCAAATTCGGGAGGGGCCAACTCAGTGCGCCAGCTGCCTTGAGGAGGCATGGCGCTAGCCCGTTGAAGTGCGGGCTAAAATGCCACCTCCCGTCAAGCGTGAGGCCCAGATATTTCATCTGCCCTTTGACGTCAATCCTAACGTCCTTAACCACAATGTGGGCGTCGGGAGGGGTGCGCTGGCGAGGCCCCGGTAAGAAGAGGGCCTCAGTCTTCTCCAGCGCGACTTTCAGGACGAGGCGTCGTATTGTGTGACCGACTAATGTGCCGCCCGCCGACGCCAGCCGAGCGGCGGTCCCAAATGTCTTCCCCCGAGCAGTGACCAGAGTGTCATCCGCATAGCCTATGACACTCATGCCCGCGAGAAGGACGCCCCGGAGGAGCCAGTTGAAGCCTAGGTTCCACAAGAGTGGACCGAGCACCGAACCCTGCGAAACCCCGCTGGCTACGCCGCGCCGTTTGACATGGCCGTCTCTGTCAACATACAGGACTTCGCGGGCCCGTAAGTAATCGGCCAGCAGCCCTCGAAGGTACTGAGGCACTCTGTGATGTTGAAGTGCCTCGAATATGGTGGAATGAGGGATGGTATTGAAAGCGTTGGCTATATCGAATGATACAGTCAACACACCCTCACCCCTCTCCCTAGCCTCTGCAGTGAGGCTTTTTAGCCTCTGAAAGGCATCACCGGTCGACCTGTCATGTAAACCAAAGCAGTAATACCAATGTTACGAAAATGAATTAGTTTCCACAATATCGAAATATGACGATTGAATGTGTAAATCAAAATAAGGCGATGTTTTGAGGTGGTTTGAGTTTTGTTGCATAAAAATATTTTTTAACATTTTTTTTTTTTTCATTTTTTAATCGGGAGTGCTGGGCCCCTGGTCATAGTGGGCCCCTAGGCACTGGCCTAAAGTGCCTTATGGATAATACGGCACTGCTTTTTAATTAGGAAAATAAATTTGTAGGAAAAATAGAAAATCTCGGAATAAAATTAGTCATATTTATGACAAAATAAATAAAAGACTTATGAGTTTTTTTAAAATTCATAAAATGCTTTATTTTGTTTTGGCAAGATTTCACAATACAAAAACCCATCAGTCTATACATTACTACTTTCGGTATTGTACCTAAACCATATTACATTTTTACCTATTCTCGTAAGCTCAAACATGGTATGGAAATGTTAATAATATCAATATATTAATTAAAATCCATTACTAACTATGAAATAGGTACTTACATAAATTACAATCTTAATATGACCCTTTAATATTTAATCTAAAAATATCACATTTATTATACAGTCGTCAACACATCAATATAGGCAGCAACTGACGAAATCCTCTATCGATTTTAAACTTTATTACTAAAGACATAAAACTTAAATCCATGAAGGATTGTCATTTCAGTCAGTCATTTAGGTATTGCATTCGTACTTGGCAATCACAGGAAGCTTCAAAAGTCTCTTGAATTATATCGATAATTAAAATTATAATACCATTATCAAAAACCATCATCATCTTATTTGTATATTTTTAACTACCCCTGTAGTTGTAAAAACATCAACTCTTATTTCATAAATTAAGATCTTCTTTTGTTCGGTAATTTTATGAAACACAAAGAAAGGTTATTTGGGTTACATTTAATATTCATTCTGATTCTGATTTGTGTCATATAATGTTTACATTACTTTTGTTGTCAGCTCTTAATCATAAAATTGTAATTTTAAATCAACTGAGGCACTGCATTTGTAATTCAGGCACGCGCCATATACAAAAAAACTAATTTTGTTTTTAAATTAAATCTTTATCTTTTATAAAATAAATTTTGGCAAGATTTGCGAAACAGTTGGTTAGACACTACCAAACAATTATTTATAAAAATATGTCTTTCAATTCTCCCAAGAATTTTGCAGAGCACTGGGAACCTATGACTTTGTTTTTTCGCAAACTCTTGACTCTACATTGATATTTTACAGTAAATTGAGAATTATGTTAGGTTTTTAGTGCCACGATAGTCTTTTACAGAAGTATGATTATTGATTGGCCATTAAGAAATTACTCAATTGATTTTTAGTAAAAAGATTACCGTTTGGAGTGTCAAATTCTTTGCCGTTCTTAACAGCAAAATTGTTCGGTCGTTTTCTTATAAGTTGTTTAGCGTGGCTTAGCAGGGCTCCGTAGAATGTTGTTGTTCGTAAAGGCATGTCGAACTTCTCGCAATGTTCCAAAAGAATCGGATAGAAGTATTTCAGTTCTGCGTGGTCCAGAGTCGGGAACAAGTGGTGTAGCGCGTGGTCGCCAAACCGAGTGATCGATTTAAAATGATTGCCTGCGTAATCGATTCTCTCCACAACAGTGTCGAGTTGGTGCAAACCCCAATCCAAGTATTCTTGCCTGAAAAAATTGACGAGTAAATTAAAAACTTTCGCTGGTAGACTAGTTGGAATAAATTTCCATTTTGACGGCTGTCTGGTCCAGAGGTCCTCTCCAGACTACAAAGGGCTAATGTTTGTGTGATGAGAAATGCTCGAAGCACTCGTGTCTGAGTCTTGGAATATGTTAGTTAATTTCTTATTGTTCACTAGTTAGTCCTCGATCAATTACGGTGCTAATATTCATGGTACAATTATTAGGACTCTAGTACCTACTTTACTCAAGCGCGACTTGGTATCGGCGACTTTATTTTAAAAGAATCATGTCGACAACTTGTAACCGCGCGAGTCACCCGGCGACTTTTGACACTATGTCAAAATTCGACGACTCATGTCGGCGGTAGTGGAGTCTCCATTAAAATAAAAACCAGACTGATCTCCTTTTCTTATTTATGTTTCAGGTATTTACCTTGGTATATCTCCATCAAAGAAATTGATATGGGCATGATGACCAGCTGTCAGACCAAACAGCGTGAAGAAGAAACTCCCAGTCATGAACGAGGCGACCCACACTAGCACAGCCCAGGGCAAAGGCAGCCCGCCAGCTATCCACATCCAGGCTGGCACCGTGAATGGTATTACGTTTGTCCAGGACAACCTTTTCCCTTCGAAGTTAGTTATCGATGTGCCAACCCTGTAATAAATATTATTAGAATTTAGAATACGTGCTTTGCAAAATTACACTTTTTATGTTAATACTTAAGGTGGTTTAGATTGATGTGCTGGCGTCTTTGACTCTGTGTTCAAACCTCAACTTCATGGTTCTCAGCTGAGACTGGTATTCAAAAGACGGTAATGTATTGACCTACACTCAAGAGATAAAATCTACGCTTGAGTTTGAGTTGACTTTTGAGACTCGTTTCAATCTTAATTTTTAAAATAGTAAGTACCTAACATAGACCCGAAATCTACTCAAATTAACTAATTTTATTTGTATGCTGTTTCAGAGAATCGAACCAAACAAGAACAAGGGTAAAATTAATGAATTAATGCGTTGCTCCTTTTCAGGTTATTTTAACGATTGATAAGTCTTCTTACTCTTTGACGAAAAGTCCCACGAAGACGAACATGAAGATTATAGGCCAGTAAAAGGCAGCCATTTGAGCCCAGATCGGCTTGTGTCTATAAGGCAGGAACTGCAGGATCGGCTCGAACATACTCAGCTCCATATCCTGGATAGTGTTTGTGTGCATGTGGTGGGACATCGAGTGGAATATGCGCCAATCCCTGGAAACGGAACACAATAATAACTCATCTCAACACATTATCGTAACTCGTAGGAGCCACTTCGTGTTGAATCTGTATTCCCACCCTCCGAAAGCATCGGCCGCTGTGCTCTGAATATCCATAAGAAAGATAGAAAATATAGCACTAATATTAAATGTGAAAGTTTGTGAGGATGGATGGATGTTTGTTACTCTTTCACGCAAAAACTACGGATAATAAAAATAAAACTGATGTTTATGTAATTTAGTAAAGAGTTATTTAATACCCAGAAAAAACATAACCCAGTCCTATTTATTCCAGTCTTACAAAAGGACCACGCATGCGATATAGTATTTCTGTGATAAACTGAAATTCATGCGATCGAAGGCGCTGGCAAGAGCTATATGCTAAGTAGAGGTGGGCGCCACGCCGGCGCGCCGCCGCCGCCGCGAATTTTTTCACGCCGCCGCCGCCGACGACCAGCTGTCGGCGCGCCGATTCTGATACTGTACCGACTATTTGCAATTTATTCCTCTCCTATCCTGTACTAATTTGTGTTTCAAACGCAGAAGAACTATTTTTTTATTGAGTTGAGCGGCTATTCTAGTTCAATAAAGTCCTAGTATCACTGCGACTGGTACCGATCTATTGTGATCGCCGCTATTTTCCTTACAGTTCGTCTCCGAGTCCTGCATCCATTAGGAATTGCAGTATCTTTTGGGGGGCGGTATGTTTTACATCTTGTGGGCTTAGGATGTGTCATTTTGATCCTACTCAGTCCTATGATCTGCTTATAGCATTTTCGGTCATAGGCTTTTATGAGAGCTTTGGAATGAGTTAATCCTGGCGTGTCTGACCATGCCTTAAAGGATTTGTTTAAATAGATGTTCTCCAGGGTCGAGACTTTTGGGAATGCCACAAAAGGGTTCTGGACCATATTGTGTTCCCTCCGCTCCCGCTCTGGCCAGTTCATCGGCATTTTCATTGCCACGATTCCCACGTGATCTGGAACCCATCTCAGCGTTACTCTGTTACGTTCTCCTAGGGTATTCAGTCGACTCATGCAGTTTTCTACCAACTTTGAGGTGATTAAGTTGGAGTTTAAGGCCATCAGCGCGGCCTGACTGTCTGAATTAATGTAAATTATGTGGTTGGCATATTTTTTTCGCAGGTTAGCTTCCGCACATTCAATAATGGCGTAGACTTCTGCCTCAAAGATAGAGGCAAATTTACCCAGGCTTTGAGATATAGGCTATCTCGGCTTAGCTTCGGCTGCTCTCCATACACGCCAAAGCCTACGTTAGGGCCCATTTTTGACCCATCAGTAAACCATATAACAGAAGAACTAACTATAATATTTATTCTTTAATGCCATATAAATTGGTACACAAGGCGAACTTAATGCCGTTGATATACTAATATATTGATTGAATAACTTAATACTAACTATATTAACAGTTAATCAAGTATTTATTCAAGTTGCTGCTTGGTCTAGTAAATAATTGATCGCGAGAGGCACTGGTTCCTCTTGCTGCCAAGAAAAAAATCCCCGCCTTCGTCTGGCAGACAACCCAAACTATTGGACTATACTTTAAGCGAATCACTCACACAGAGATTGGCAAATATGTCTCGGAATGCAAATGGGAACCACAACCTCTGGAAGGCAACAAAGTACCTCCCTCAAAGTGTTCTCTGCTTATTAGGTCCGATAATACATGAGTGCGAACTCACAAGAAAAATCTCAGACCTTTGATGCATGACAAGCCGGTTTATTTAAACCCATTGACACGGATAATCCAAAAAATCCACAGTTCAATCAAAAAAATAAGATCAAGCATTGGACTTGATCCGAGACTTGCAGCTATGCCTGCCTTTGATTCCTACTCATGATGATGATTTATCCGACCGATTTCGGTCGTGGTGACTGACCACTTCGACTTAGCTCTCTTAGCGGCGCTGGTGCGCCCGAAGATGGCTTACCTAGCCAATCTTCGCGGCAAACTCCTCGCACATTGAGAGTAATTACCCGCCGCCAACATAATTATAGTGAATGGCGGCAGATGGACAGGATTTACATCATCGCGTTTTGCGACGAGTTCAGTTGTGCGCTGCTCCTTGAATTCGCGGACTCGCCTCTACACAACACAATCTCCCGCCATTCTAGGTGCTGTGCTGCCAAACCTTCCCATTGTGATTTGAGAGGGCCCATTTTGCATTTTTTCGTATGCTGCTTCTGGACATCTTTGTACTTGACTATCTTAGGAGTTGACCGCCATGTTTCCGCTTACCCTCCTCAAGTTCAAAGTAGAAGATTGATTCCTACTACGCTAATTGAGGTCGTCCTCAAAGACGCAGGAGGACAAAGTGACTGACATAGCCCACAGAATCGCTAAAATCAAGTGGCAGTGGGCGGAGCACATATCTCGTAGAGCTGATGGCCGCTGGGGCAGTAAAGTTCTTGAGTGGCTACCACGAGCCGGAAGACGTAGCGTGGGCAGGCCTCCCACTAGGTGGACCGACGATTTGGGGAAGGTCGCAGGAAGTGCCTGGATGCCAGCGGCGCAGGACGTCTTTCGGCTGAAACGAAAGAACTAACGCTAAGAGATATGGCTAAACTAAAGAAATAGCAAAAATGGACCCTCGTAAAGCACTTGCATTTGATCTGATCACTATGAAGTCCATGGTCTTGACAATGACCACACTGAGTGAGAACCTCGCAAGTCTCTTAACTTTGGAAATGATCCATAAGGCTGGCGAGTCGCCTAACAAATTCTCTTATCACTCAATTAATCTGACATTTGTATTGTTAAAATTATGGAAAAGGATCATTCTTGCTCGTTTATTCCCTTGCCTAAGTATGACCCATGTAATATAGTATATCCGACCACAAATTTTAGCAGAAACCATACCAATCATAATCAGTACAATGTTTGGAAAAGAAAGAATCCTGTACGTCTGCTTTCGCTGCGGCTTCAGCTGGGTTTATCATAAAGGACTACTCTATGAAATTCAAAAGTAGTACCTTCTATCTAGCACACTTCTACTACCTGCTGATGGATTCTTATCTCAGTGACAGACAGTTTAAATCTCTCGGTGACAAAATCTTCTCTTTTTAGCTGCAGAGCTGGAGTACCTGCATTAAAACCCTGGGCCGTAGGATAACATGGAAAGACCATAAATATAAATAAAACAGAACTGAATATAATATTCCACCGACAGTCAGCTAATCCAACATTAACTATGTGCCTCCAAAGAGCTCAAAAATACATGTTAAGGGTACTTTTATCGGCACATTGGTACGCTCGCCTTTAGGAAATACACGAGAACCTGATCTCAGCCAAATCCGCTATCCAAATTAATATTAAAGTATCTATGATCAAGAGAGCTAATTTACTAGGGTAAACCACTGCTCTAGTGGCTCAAACCCTAACCAACTGCAAATCATCTGATTAGTCTTGACGACATATACTAAAAAAGCAGATTTAAAAAAAAAAACCTAATGAACAAAGGTCAAACAAGGTCACGCCGCCGACGCCGCCGCCGCCGAGGTCAAAAAGTCGGCGCGCCGCCGCCGGCCAATTATATATCGGCGCCCACCTCTAATGCTAAGTAATATAAAATACCTTTATTATCAGATAATTTTATTGTTATTTATTCGAAATCCGTGTTTACGTAGTCAACCAACCAACAAAGAATCAACATGTTGACGCATTTAATATGAAATTACTTAATTTATAATACATGTTTTGTTAATTACATGAACTGCATATAGATAAAGTTTATTTTTGAAGTGAATCCTTTGAAACAATCAGTCTTCAAGTCTTATTAGTTCACAATACAATTAAGGCGGCATACTTATAAGAAGTTACAAACGACTTAGCAAAGTTTTTTGTTATGATTGCGTCAATGACACAAATAAAAATAATAAGACGATTCTGCACGGTCATTCCAGTGATTTTGAAGTCCGATGATAATGGCGATTTTGAACACTCAGTTTGGAACTACATATTTTGTTTTAAGTTAGAAATAAAATAAATAAATAAATCTTTGGACAATTTCACACAGCGCCAGCTAGCCCCAAAGTAAGCAACTTAATGCTTGTGTTATGGGTGCTAGCTTAACGGATATACTACTTATATACATTTTTTTTTAAATACATACATATTATACATAGTCACACCCAGACCCGTCACAGAAATTAAAATTCATCATTTCAATTTCTGCCCGGCCGGGAATCGAACCCGGGACCTCTCGGCATAGTAGTCCGTTCTGAACCACTACACCAAACGGCCGAAAATTGATACGTAAACCCAAGAGGAATCATATTACTTTTGATTTGACCTTGTGTCTATTTTAAAACCAATTAGGTACGTTAAATAAAGTCATTACGTTAAAAGAAATGGAGCAGAATATGTTTTTATTTTACGTATTTGTGCCTGTGCAATGTATGAAACATTCTTTTTCAAACTGTACTCTGGTAGGTACTTACTCATTCGATATCCCTGCCAAGTTCACCAAGTACATTCGCCAGCTGTCAGCTCTGTGCAAGTAGTTGTGGCTGCAAGATATCACAGCACTCAGCACGAATCCGTTTAGCAATGTCAATGATGCCCCCAGGATCCAATTGTAAGTCCAAGCCCAACAGCACAGGGGACTGAGCAATACGAATGAAGCGAGCAGCATATCAGTCACTTGGTCGCTCTTTACTCGCTCGTCTTTTGGTATATCTTTTAATTTCTCCATGACTTTGCTCTTCAATGTTTTGTAAAAACCATGCTCGTCGAACGTGAATGGAGAATTTCTTGGCGTTGTAGCTTTTCTTGTGAAATATTTCGGTAAGAGTAACTCGGCGGTGCCTTTGAGATGGTGCGTCTCGAATTGCTCAGTTATGTCAGTACCCTGGAACGTAAGTATTAATTAAATTTTAAAGCCGTTTAGATCAATTATTTTGATATCTATTTAATTGAATTCAATTGAATCAATATCACGCTTGGTGCAAAAACTGCCATTATTTTAATTCAAACCGCGGTTGTCTCTTCTTGAATTATGATCCAGTAACAATGTACAGTTTAAAAATGGATACAATTAATATGCATGCAACAACAAATTATTTGAGTCGTCATTGAGATACGGAAATGATGTCTGCATTTTCGTACAGGGTAATACGATAGCACTGGTCGGAAAGGCATAATTAAATCACTTCCCAACTCCACTCAGTTGAAAAAACTCTACAAAATAATAATTGATATGGCCTTCAACACAAAAAAAAATGTTATTCGTAATCTAGATTAAAATTGGTTAAATAATTTAACATTCTAATTTTTTATACAATAAAGCCTGTTTTACACCACCAAAGAGGAATGAATTAGGGATGTCTAACGGAGAGGGCGTGTACATAAAATAGGATTGTTTTTCCAACGAGAAAAAGTATTGATTTGATGGGTGAGCTAATTTTTACTCTTTTTTCCCTCTTTGACATTTTCATTCGACTCTTTGTTGGTGAAAAAATAGATGTACAGTAGGCGCGCGATTTCATGTCCATCGGGGCCTTACTTACTTACTTATTTACTTATACTTACTTACTTATAAGTTGCAAAAAATATGGAATAGATAAGGTTGACCTACTTAATTGGTAATAATTATCGATATCGACATTAGCAATTAGTTAGGTAACAGCACTACCGCATTCCTCAGGATGGACATGAACTCGCGCGCCTACTGTAGGTACAGCATTTTTATATTGCGAGGTAGACGGAGTCATGGGCACGCTCCGCTCGCGGTGGGAAACCCGTATATTTCTAACATCAAGTAATTAACTTATTTTAAAAAACTCTCTAACGTTCTCTACATTAATATCATAGAGTAATGTGTGGCTATTGTATATTCGCGTTATATCTTTTTTAACTACTTGCCATAGCACAACTATGATAATACATTCAAGCTTACATAATTAGTAATTTAACATTCAAGCTCTTTACTAACTTTGTGGCAAATCTACAATTACCCGTTCATTGTTTTGCGGTTGCAAAAATCATTTATACGCAAATAAATCAAATTAATATAGGTAATCGATGCACGATATCGTATTTCTATTTCGAACTAAATTCCATGCGGGCAAAGGTTGCTATTAAATAATAACGATATCTCCGATTACAGCGATACTAAAGTGATACCAGTGTATTATTATGATTTATTTCTCTTCAATAATAATACATTTTGTTTTCAGATAAAAAATAATGACATAACATTATCTTAATAAATCAAACGCTCTTGTATAAGACACGAGTGGTGCATGTAGTATGTATGTAGATAGTAAGACAATTGATTATCAGTGTGCCTACCATGAGTTTACGTTAGGTGAGCTCGCTAGCGAATACGTCAAAAAATTATATGAAGATTTTATTTCTTGAAAGTAGCCGCTAGGGGCGCTGCACAATATGTCATACATTTAAATGTCATTTTTTTACGCAGTCGCTAGCGAGCACACCTAACGTAAACTCATGGTAGGCACACTGTACTGCGTACCTCGAACAAAAATTATTTGTTTAAACATTAAAGGTGTACATTATACCTAATACATACGAGTAACATCATAACATCACTGCATGTGTGGTAAAATGTTTTTCAATATTTCATTTTCAGCCCAGAAATTTTTCAGAAACTTAAATTACACTAAACAAAGATTGAAGAGCTGAAGAATGGTAATTAAATAAACAAAGGTATTAGGTATACATACATATAGTGCGTATTATGTCAACCTGAACATTGTACTCATAAATGCATTTTAAGTATAATTTGATAAGACTTATCTAATCAAATTAAACTTTGGAAAGTATTAAGAAAGCCCTAATCCAATAGATATTGTGCGAAAATATGTTTGTTAGTTTATAACGTTTCAAAGTCAAAGAAATAATATTTATTTGCCATGTTAAGATTTTTCTACATATAATTTGTTTATTTATTTATTCATAAAGGCAGGAAGAAACTTCCACAATACTCATGTAGCAACATAATAGTTACCTAATTTCCTAATAAATTATAAATGCGAAAGTTTGTATAGATAGACATCTATACAAACTTTCATCCACATCCAGACGGATGTTGACATGTTTGTTACTCTTTCACGCAAAAACTACCGGACGGATTTTGATGAAACTTTGCAGTATTACAGATTGTAACCCAGAATAACATATAGGCTATTTATGACGATCTGTGTCAAACTAAATTTCACGTGGGTGAAGCCGCGGGAAAAAGCTAGTATTCTCATATTATTTGCTTACAACAAAAAGGCACATAATCGTTTTGAACTTTGCGGTCTTCATGAATAGCTAATGGGTTTACGTCGTAAAATTTACTTTGTCTTAAGAAATAGCATAGGTACGAGTATAATGGCGCTATGATGTGTAGCACAAGATTAGCATTCAAATTATAAATTTACTGTACTCGTGTTTTCCCTGTGGATTACCTACATAGGAATATGAACATATTTTTCCTTGGATGTAGTTTTATTACAATTTTATCTTTTACTAAAGAATTTTGTCAAAATTTGCCAAATGCCTACAAAAAAGTCTGCCTAGAAATTTTTAGAAAAAGGTTTTATCACGATTTTAAAAAAAAACACGGGCACGAAAACCTTTTTGTATGACAAACTAAAATCCATGCGAAGACGCGGGCAAAAGCTAGTATTGAAATTAAATAATTTGATTTTAATCTTAGACTTGTCATAGCTATTATTACTAATCGATAAGAAACAACAATATTTTTTTAAAGTTTAATCTTTGAATGATTGTTTTTTTTTTATAAATGATTAGTGTAAACCTTTTCAATTTTTGCAAGTCGTCAACTTAAAATTACCTACCTAATACCTACAACCAGACTGAGTAAGGTTTTAAGAATTGACACGTTAAATTAAAAAAAAACTGCATACTTAATCGAATGCGCATCTAATGAGCGGAAAATTTTATAAAAATGATATAGGTAGGTACGTTAGGTACTCTTTGTTAAGATTTGACTTTGAGACTTTTGAATGGCATCCTAATAAATCATTAGAATTTGCGAGAAAATCTAACTATAGTATACCTGCATATTCTTTTAACCCTCCGTGTACGAGGTGACTAAAAGTTACGTCCCGTACCAGGTGGGGTATGACAAACCCCAATATACAAAGTGATAAAATTTTCATTGAAAATTTTTTTAGGTGGAATTTAATATTTAATATTAATTTTTACGTATGCTAATTAGGTTTAAGAAAAGCTCTGAGCTGAAAATATGTAAAATAACATTTTTATCATAAAAAAACAAAAAGCCACAATTTCCGTTGTTCTTTTAATTTAGGAATCAGTTTCTTATGTATAATTTTTAATTACTGCCTTTAATTATGACAACCGTTTTTATTTAACAAAGTACAAGATATTTACTTATAATTTAAAAGTAAATTAAAAACTGGAAGGGTATAAATTTATTTTGATCATCGGTTTTCAATTTACCACAATTCTGATGAAAGAAAATGAGTATGCTCAATGCATAAAATGGGAGCGTAACAATTTCATTTATTTATAAAATATGATATTCCATTTCAGTAGCCCATAAATTGTATCACAAAGTATAAATTGTAGCCCATAAGTGTATGTTGACATACATCTTCGGATCTCAGTACTAAAATTCCAGATTCGCACTAAAAGTCATCTCATTTGACTAAAAGTGCTTGAAAATTTCAGATTCCGTGAAAATCACGAAAAATATTATTTGTATTGAATTTTATTCAATTTACAAAGCTTAAAATATATAAATTACACCAAAACTGTTAGATTATTTCTTAAACTTTTTAACAACGTCCCGTACCAGGTGGGGTGTGTGACACCCACACGCACTTTAAAGGCATCTAACTCAGTTGGTAGTCACCGCTGGACAGATTTTGCAACGCTGATCGAAGCAGCAGCGCCATAATTCCAGCTACTGAGAATTTCAAATTCAGCACTTGCAATTTTTTAAAATTATGGCGATTTTTAAAGGACTGGGGTGTGTCACACCCCACCTCGTACAGCGAGGGTTAAGGGTCACCCTGGCAGTTTTCCGGCCTTTTGTGTTCTGTCCCAAAGATAATGTGTTATTTTATTGCACAACACTTGGTTAATTATCACATGGTTACAAAAGTCATAAGTACTACATTGATACTATACAGTACCTAGTTTTAAGAAACTCCTGTATCTGGGAAAATAGTAGAATTCGTAAATGGGTTAAGAAAATGTCAGATGAAATAGTTAAATATCACATTACCTAGGGTTGAATATAATTTAGCAGGTTTTTGGCACTTAAATAGTCGAGCGAGAGTAACCACTTAAGTAATAAGACAGATCTTTGCTTCCAAAACAGGACATTGGAAGAGCAGTCACTTGGCAACCGAAAAGGGTCCTGGGTTCAATTCCCGCCAGCAATTTGATTTTTAAAGTTTTTTAAAATTTTGTTTGAGATGCGACTCTTAATTTCTTCCTTGTCCTAGCCATTGTTTAGGATCGGCACTCCTCATTTTGACGCCAGGACAGTTTGTCCTGGGTTGTCCAAACATTTGTTTGGGCAAGCTCAAGTCCATGAGATACGACTCATAACTTACACAAATTTAATTTCTTTACCTTCGTTGAAGAAATCCATAGTGGTCCGCCAGGGTGTTTCGTCACGAACTCGCTGAAGTCATACAACGAATCGTGGATCCTCCACAGACCTTCGGCTCCATCTTGCATCCTCTTTCCTTTCATCCATTGCTGAGGAGTCTTTGGGTCCTCGTCGCGGTGGATCGGGTATTTTAGGTTCGGGAAACTTGTCTGTCTTTTGTCAACCTCTGACGTCATTGCTGAAACAAAGATATTGAACATATTTATTTATGCAGATATTTATGTAGGTATGAGTTGGTGTCATGCTCCTTTCTTTTAAGTAGGTAGCATTGTTTTATGTAAGGACCTGTGCACATAACGATTTTTAAACGCGCCGACGTCAAGAGCGTTTCAATAGTACTACGTGGTAAGCTTTTTTCCTACAGAGCAGTCCGATTTGCTTGTGTATCGCGTTTGTATCGCTACAAACGCGCGTCGATGGAACGCTTAAAAAACTTGGTGTGCACAGGCCCATTTGAAAAGAAAGTATAAGGCGATTATCACACTGCACCGTGCTCCGCCGCGGTGCGCGTGACGACATAACGAATCCCGCGCGCAAACGCGTTGTCAGTGTGTTGTGCTGCGCGTGTTTTCTATACAAACTGAGGTACTTGCATATAAAATGATTAAATCTGTCGTCCCGCGTACCGCGACGGAGCGCGGTTTGTGGCTCGATAAAAGAAGGCACTCCCCGCCTAAAGTTTGACGTAAAGACTGCCATACGCTAAAATAATCATGGTGATCATGTATGTATGCCATAGACGAAAACGTAACTAAACGAAAGTATCACCGTAATTTTTTTACCTTTTCAAATCTAATCCGCTATTAATAGGTCTAGCACAGAATAATAATAAGTACTACGTACAGAAGTTTTACTTCGCGAAGGTATTTAAAAAAATGTATGCTCAATGTCATTAACAATATGGTGTAATTTAGCTTGTCTCAAGAGTCAAGCAAGTTTGTCAGAAGTTTTGTTGACAAACGTCAGTGATCGGTACTGCGCCGAAGCTATAGGTAGGATAGGGCTAACTTCGGTAAAATGATGTGACGTGAGGTGCCAATCTGCAGAAAATGGCGGAGGAAATACATGATTTATAGCCTGACCAGGAACATAAAAACCCTGGCATAGAGGCGCTTCAATTGCATTTGATAGTGCAACACTGAGTACAGTCGTACCTGTGTTAAATTAATAGGCTAACTATATGTATCAGGATTCAGGATTACGGGCTAATTTAATATTTTCATAAATTAACGAAAACATATTATTATAGGTAACCTGGTTTAAATAAATTAAATGAAACCATCAATCGAGTTAGTAGGATTTATTTTATTATTCATCAATAATCAAATTCAGAACTTGAATATTCAACTGCAATGTCTGCTCATGAACGCTTCAAACTCGGTGCTTCTTTCCCAATTCCATTAAATTCAACACTTAGAAAGTGACAAAAAACTTTAAAATAGGTATTTGACACAAATCACAGCTAATTTTCATAGTGGACTGTACTGTACGATAAACATGTCAGTCAATTTGACAACCTTTGTCGGAAACATTATTCGATGGAAATATTGTCCGAACCCTTAGTATTTCTCTTCGACAAATACTTTAACACATTGTGAACCACTTTTCTTTCACGACTATAAAAAGATTTTAGCAATTTAATTCACAAAATCAATTGCGCACATTTAAAATAAAGTTTGTTTACACTTTGACAGCCATAGACTGACATGCAAGGTGACATGTCAATGAAGTTTTCAGTTACTGTTGCCATTAAAAGAAATTAGTACCATTAGTTTTCCGCAACATGGCGAGGGTTTTTATGTTCCTGGTCAGGCTATAGCATGAATTATCAAGAATAATATTAACTACTTATTTACCTCTCAGTGTCTTCAGGCAACTTAAAAAAGTACATTCTGTGTTTTTATTATTATTTAGGCAGTTAAATACTGCACACTATTTAGTACACCATTTTCTTTATTTTTTTCCATAATACACAAGAATACGCGTGCGTGAGTCAATGTTCGCTCGTATGTGAGGCCTTGTCGAATAGTACTCTTGTAGGGGGCAATCGTGCGTGTTTTGTTTTCGATGTAAACTCGCGGAGATGAACAGGCCTGGGTCTAGCAACAATGGAGTCAACACTATGACTGTGTCAAAATAATAACCCCAAGATACCTTACACACATAAATGCACGTGCAAATGAATATGCAATAATCTTAATCTCTCTTTATTAAATAAATACATTGTATAATGTATGTATGTAATAAGTGCGAGTAAATACAATGGAACTGGTTTGCACAAGGTAATTACAGCCTGATTACTAGACTTGTGCAGTAACAAAGTCAAGGTAAAGATCAATAAATTTATCGACGCGCATACAAACTTACATCTATAAGCGTTGGGTATAAGTATTAAAGAAAGTAAATCCCCTATGGCTTCTCATATATATAGCAGGTGTCGGAGTTGGACTGCTAGTTCGAGATTCGGGAAACGCTAGTTCGATCCCCGTCGACCTCTGGGCTATAATATTTATATTATAGTGAACCCATTCCTAACACAGGCTTTCATTTAATTTTTAGCTTAGATGGCACTCCAGTTCAGTTAGGGATTAACAGAACTATTAGTACACAATTTTGTGTAGGTACCTCAAATATTACAAAATTTTATTGCTTTTCAGAAATGGCAAAAACAACTCGCTGCGCTGACCTTTGTCAACCTTCAGTTTATTACAGGAAATAAGTACAAAATGTTGTAAGTTTAACCTAGATAAATTAAAATCCATGCATTCTTGTCGTTTAAATAATCATCCGCTTTAAAGTATGTATCCTTATTTTGTACAAAAACAGAAAAAGGGAAAAGGTAGAATTTGGAGTGACATTTCCTAAAATAAATAAAAAATATCACAGACTTGTCAAAACCATTGTCGAAAGTTGACCTTATCACGGTAATACTATCTATACAGTATTCTAACTCGACCATATTTTTGAAATAAATGTCAACAGCCGGGCGGTACGTCACCGTATGACAACATGCGATAGGGCTGCCCACCTGCAGACCCTATTTTCATTACATCTGCCTACATAGAACTTCTTCTAGTTTTGTGAATGTATTTTGTGACTGTAATTTTTTATTTTATTTTGACAAACAAAATACTTTGTGAATGAAATAGGATAAAAATGAATGATGTCTTGTCATTAGTAGATTTAATTTAAAAAATATTTGTGTTACGATTTAGTAACAAATCTTATAAATTTGCGACCGTAAAATGTATGCGCCTCGACTGAGGCATACAAAATGCTTGATTGCAGACACTAGCCCATGTTAACATGTGCATGCATATAAATGGTATGGTGAAGTCAGAAAATTGATATCATCATTTCAATAATATTAATTTTCATACAAATCTGATTTTATAAATTTTATTTTGTACGAAAATAAAAAAAAATGATATCACTGACTTCACCATACATGCATAAATGTTAACATGGGCTAGTGTGGGCTTATAAACCCATTTATCTATAACACCCTGTATAAATAGGTAACTTGTAATTATTTTTATAAAAAAAACCACACTGTTTAAAAAACAATACGTCGTCCGTTTATTACTGTAACACATTCGCGACACCCCCGACTTTTGCATGTCGAGCGCATACCGAGATTTGAATTTCGAAGGAAAGCTCGTGTTTCGTCCGTTTATATGAAGTTACCATACTGTATGATAGTATTACCGTGCCTTTATGTACGGTCATAACATGACCACAGCCTTCAATAGGGCATTGTTATTAAAATCGAGGTAAATCCTCTTTCTTTTTGTATATTGATGAATAATTTTTTTGCGAATCGATGTTGATCATGAACAAAAGCAAAAAATTAATAAACCGACTCCAAAAAAGGAAATACGAATTATTTATTATTCCATGACTATTTTTTTCGGGGTCAATGCCAAGGTTACAAAACGTACAAAATTTTCCAACATAGAAGCACAATATAAAAAAGAACTGAGATATGAAATGAGATCCTCCTTTTTTGAAGTCGATTAAAAAAACTAGTTTGCCTCGAAAGGCCTAACAACCTAAAAGGTGCAGAACACCTTCTACATTATTTTAGTTTGAATCAAGTTTTTACTTAGTTTCTTTTTATAGAAGCATAACAATGGTATATCACCGGTAACCTTGATCTTTCAGAAGGTTAATTTTATCATCATGTATCCTGGCTTAAAAGTAACGCACTTTTGGCCAAAAATCCTTCTGTCTCAACGCCTTAATTTTGTTAATAAACAAAACAAAATTTTGTAAATACAATCAACATAAAATATTTCCATTCTAAAATCCACCTATAGTAAATTGAATAGTTTTGGTATATGCCAAAAGTTGGAACACGTAAAGTGCGTTCATACACTGACAACTTCATGAACTACAAAACTATTGAAAGTTTTCTCTTGTTCCATATTTTCACCGTAAAATTATGAAGCTTTTACTTACTCGTATAATGCTTTTCTGAAATTATTGTATAATGGGTACTACTATTTTAGTGTGGAAACAAAGTTTTGAATTTTAGAAGACCTTACTGTACTTAATATAAGTACATATTATGTGATGCAATAAATAAATAAAAGAATCACGTGTAAAATATTCAGATATTTTTTTTTCGTTTGGAACAACGTTATTTCTAAACCGTAATAGGAAAATTAAATTACTGAATGTCAGATTGCCGCTTACCAAAACAAATGACAATGAGATGTGCCTATCATACAATAAAGTATGTGGTATTTTGTTCGAATTAAGCGCTTAATAATAAACGGACTTCACAAGTAAGTAACTTTATTAGTTACTATCGCATCGTCGCGCTCTAATTCAATGCAGCCCGAATCATTGAACTTGAATGGAACGCACACCAATACAAAATAAATTAACTTCATCAAGTTACATTATCCATTTCTTAGAATATTGCACATTTATCTTTATTTACTGATTAGGTAGGCACTACCCATAGTACAAGCTTTGCTTAGTTTGGGACTAGAAGCGCAGTGTAAAATGTCCAAGGATATTTATTTATTTATTATTTATTACTCACTTATTATGTAGTTATTCCGGTAAAAAGCAGCGTAGAAAGTATTCCGGTTTTTTCACACGCACATTTTATTTGGAATTTGAACTGTATTCGACGCACGACTGGTTCGCGCCGCTTGTAAAAGTGACTGCGCTCGCGCCGATCGCCGGCTCCTGATAATGATTGAATGATACAAATGTTATTATCCAACTAGCGGCCGCCCGCGACTTCGTACGCGTGGATCCCGTTTTACCCCCTTCATCTATCTTACGCGGTTTAGATTTTTTCATACAAATGTTTTTTTCCGCTAACTCCCGTTCCCGTGGGAATTTTGCAATATCCTTTTGTAACTAAGCTTCAAGTTTACTAAGGTACCTGCATGCCAAATTTCAAGCGTCTAACTTAAGCGGTTTAGATTTTTCATACAAATGTTTTTTCCCGCTAACTCCCGTTCCTGTGGGAATTTTGCAATATCCTGTTGTAACTAAGCTTTACAGACAGACAGACAGACAGACAGACAAAGATTTTACCGATTGCATTTTTGGCATCAGTATCGATCACTAATCACCCCCTGATAGTTATTTTAAAAATATATTTAAAGTACAGAATTGACCTCTCTACAGATTTACTATAAGTATAGATTATTTACACACGAAGAAAAATTTTAAATCACTCTTTGTTTACTATCTGATAATTTTGCAATGAAAATACTTATGTAGATTAGGGCTCCTGAAGACTTTTTGTGCAATATTTATTTTATTGAGAATCTTTCACGCCAAAGTAACGTTTTATTGACATGCAGTAGATTGTACCTATTTTCTAACATAGGTACATTATAAATAATATTATTTTTTGTGAACATTCCCCTTATTACAAAAAAGTGAAACCCTACACTTGCACTGGTTTCAAATATAATTTCCATACAAAATGTCAATGTAAACCATAGTTCAACCAGACTTGTCTAACTTTATAAGGGGGTCTAAGTTTAATACATAACATAGTAGTTACCAAATCTGTTAGTCGAGAAGTTACACGTCTGAATTCCTCGACAAGAAGTGAAAAAGGATATAAGTGTATAACATTGTTACAAAAACAACTCTGACACTTTACACACACATAAAAAATATGAATAAGTTTATCTTAATAAATAAGAATACTCATACTGCTAATGACTTTGGCAATGATTTTAAACTAAGCAAAAAGTGAGTATGACGCCCTCTGCCTCATCTAGGGGACATAGGACCATAAGTCAAGTAAGTCAAAAAGTGAGTATACTAATGACCATAATTTTTGTTTAACTTTAATTCTATCATAGTTGTTTCTCCTGTTTGTTCCTTATCTAAAGGCAGTAAAGCTTTTACAATAAATCACAATATTGAACCATTACGTCAATCAATGATTCCGTAGTATACGATCCAGTAAAGGTAAATGAGCAAAGGCTTACGCTGTTAATCCTCATAATAGCAGCTTTGAGTTAACAGAACTGATATTGACAACTAGTAACTACATTAACTGGTACCTATAGAATTAATCCACACACAATGGTTGTATTGCTCAGAAACCAACACCTATTATACTGCTATGTAAGTTACCGTCAATACCTACTTGTCTTACGCCCGTATTCACAAACATTACTATGATGTCTCACATCGCACGTGGACTCACAGGGTGACACACGAACCAACCACAGAACTCTATTCAACGCTGTGCGTTCGATTTGCTGCCTTCACTTAAGCAAGCATCGTTTGTGAATACCAGTGTTAAAGTTATTTGTATGAATGTTGTTTAAAACTACAGACGATATTGTTATTATGAGAAAATGTAAGTAAATGGAAACAAATAGTTCGAATCGAGTCGAGTTCAAATGAATGTGAGTCATCCAATAATGTTTGTTTCAGTCACTACAAATATATATAAAAAGGACTAGGACTTATTCATTTTTGATTAATTTCATGAGGGAACAACACACGCTCGCATTTTTGATCAAATATTTCATCGCTTTTAGAGTTAATGAAGCATATAAATAAACTTAATATTTACTAACAAAGACATAATGCTGTCTGGTCGGAAATTACTCGGGTTCTCCAAATTAAAGTTGGACCATCCTTAACTTCAAATTACCAGAAATGAATATAAGTTGTATGAATAGGACAGCCCTTCAAAGGCGAGCCATCATTATGTCGGGAGCATAAACACTGAATAGTCCACAGGATTTTGGATATAATCCCAAATCGTTTGATTTACGAGTAAACTAAAGGATTTTAATCTAAGATTGAGTAGTAACATCTTCCGTCTCTAATAATATTGTAGTAAAATGATTGTTATGTAATCTCTTTATTATTGTAGAGTTTTTTCCTGGCCCAAAAGAAACGGAAAGGTTATGAATTTAGCGGTGTAAGTGTAGCACTTAAAAACTATTCAACCGATTTTCATTAATAATCCCAACTAATATTATAAATGCGAAAGTAACTCTGTCTGTCTGTCTGTCTGTCTGTCTGTCTGTTACGCTTTCCCGCTTAAACCTCGCAACCGATTTTTTCTGTGACAGACAAAATTCCACGCGGGCGAAGCCGCGGGCGGAAAGCTAGTCAGGTATAAACATTGAAATAACTGCCGTGGCGTAAGACTCTGATCCAAAAGACATATCGAGATCCACTAAATACGGAAAAATATGTCTTTGCATGGGGATCCGTATTTATAATAAAATCCCTAAAGAAATAAAAGATCTTAATATAAATATTTTTAAAAATAGACTACACAGGTAGCTTATGAACCATAGTTTTGATTAAATAAAGGATTTCTTGACTTTCAAATAATATTCACAAATGTTATTTTTGATATATTTTATTGGAAATCTTATTAATGTACTGTTAAAAATTAATATTTAATGGCATTGTTTCTTTTTTTGTTTCAATATTAATACATCAAGATGTAGCACAACATGGTTTAGCTGTAACAACTGTAAGTTTATAATGTTTTATCCAAATAAACAATTATTCTATTCTATTCATGTTCTTCGTCATTGGGAACTAGACTCTCTGGGGCCTTCTCGCATATAAAAGCAAAAGGAATAGACTCGCACCAGATGTCGTCGAACAGGCCGGTGCGGGCCATGGCCCCGCAGTAGGCGCCGCCGAATATATTGGAGCCTGACGGCTGGTTGTCCGCCCACCTCGCATACCCTGCCGCTTCAATACTCTGACCTGAAAGTATCATAATCAGCTATACCCAATGAAGTGCAAGTAGATCCAAATATACAGTGTGAGTCACGATAAAGTGCACATATGAAAATAGGTGAAACTAGACCTATTTTTATCGACAAAAAAGAGGTCAAAACTTTTTAAGTTTTTATTTTATTTTTCAAAGATTTTTTTTTCCAATTACTTATTGTAAAGAAAACGCAATAACTTTTAAACTAAGAGGTATATCCTGATAAAAAAACAGTAATAATGCTAAATAACAGGCGATACTAGAAAGTACATAAAATACTCTGAAATAGGTCTAGTTTCACCTATTTTCATTTGTGCACTTATCGTGATTCACACTGTTTAATAGAGGGTATTCAAAAAACTACACCCACGCGAACCATACCCTGAAGAAACTCTTTAGTAACTATAGTAAGAATGAATAAGTTTGACTATGACTTTCATCATCTGTCATAAAGTTGTCATTAAAACGAAACTGTCTTTCGTTCTTTGAGATAAGAAATCACCATTATCACAACTAGTGATGTACAAGACTCGAGGCGTCGAGTCCTATTTTTGAAGCCTCGAGGCGGAATGGCAAGGCTCAGTGAGCTCGGTAGGCTCGGTGCCCCGAGCTTAGCCGAGCTGCGAGCTCTCTGACCCATGCCTCGAGGCTTTAAAAGTGCTCGAGCCCTGAAAAGAGCTCGAACCTTCAAAAGAGCTCGAACCTTCAAAATAGCTCAAACCTTCGGCAAAAAATAAAAAAAAAACATCACCTAGGTACATTGATTTTTATTATAAGATTTTTAAAATGTAGGTACCTATATTTTATTTTGTTGGGACAAATTCTAATTGTTTGTAGTAATTATTTGATTTGTGTCCTTTTGTGAAAAACGTTTTTCAAATAACTATGTATTTTATTGTAGGTATCAGAATTCCTGCAGTTTTATTCAAAAGAACGATCTTAACACAAAAGTTAACTGGGCTTTCAAAAAGGCTCGAGCTCTCAAAAAGGCTCGAGCTCTGCGAAAGACTCCAAGCTTCATACAAACAAGGCGAGCCCCGAAAAAGGCTCGAACTCTAAAAAAAGACTTCCGAGTCGTCGAGCTTCATACAAACGAGGCAAGCCCTGTAAACGACTCTGAGCTCTCGGCAAAAGGACTCGGAAGCCTCGAGCCTTGTACATCACTAATCACAACTTACCATGTACTGTGTACCAAGTGCCATTTTGATTCCAATCAAGAAATCCAACTGAAACAACGTCCTTATTGTTCAAATTTATAGTGTTTGCTGGATATTTGGCAAAGAGGTTTATGAGGACTGTGGCTTCCTGATTGCTGTTGAGGATGGCCAGATAGCCGCCCTCCGCGAGGCAGGTCATCTGCGCGCGCCACCAGGTCTTCCCCAAGTGGTGAAACTTGTAGCAGCTACCAGTGCTTTGTTCAAATGTATAAGCTACAATCAGAACAGATAAAAGATTATTGAGATATTGAAATGCCTATGTTCACCAGAAATAATGCAGGGCTCTAATGGTGAAAACTATTTTCAAATTCGGTCTAGTAGTTTCGAAATTATAATAACCAATACAAACAGTCTAAATTTTCTTTCAGTTGATATAACAGTTGATATAGATAACATGCTGTTTGTGTAGAGATGTTTCAGTTATGTAAGGTTATTGTGTTTTTGTCTGTAAATGCAGTTAATTACCAGTGTCGACAGTGCCGCAATTTTTATTCATCACAGGGTTATTGGTTTTCTTCTTGTAGCACACGTATGGGTACGTCTCATTACACCGCGTAACAGCCAGCGTCCCGTTATCCAGCATGATGATGCAATATTCCTGGTTCTGGAAGTTGTCAGGTTCGTCCATGGCCCATTGCACGGGGATCTTTGCTAACGGGATACCTGATTAAACGTATAATCATTATCACGTTATAAAAAGTATAAAACATTACAAAGAAATAGAACTTCCACCTCTGTAAATGATA